GGGAGTCTCCATGGAAACCCTCCTGGGGCACGTTGGTGAACTCGTGTTAATTATGTCTTCTGAAAAATGGGTCAGGGAAGGGTGGGAGGGTCTGCTGTCCCTGCTGCCACTGCAGGGGGGCATCCGGTGGCCACACGCTGAACTCAGAAGTCAGAAGGTGTCATTCTTGACTGTTTGGCTGAGAGGTAAGTCCAAGTCCAGTGTCCCTGCTGGGCATCCCTGTCCCTCTCCAGCGGCACCCTGGACCTCCACGGAATCTTGCAAAGGGTCAGTGGCTGTCCCCATGTCTTGGCCATACTGATGGCTAAGCATGTCATTATCATTTACTGTCCTCCCCAGCCAGTCCCGGGTCTCTAGACTTTATAGGGCGTGCGGCTACAAAGTGACAGGTCTGGGGCTCGAACCCAGGGATTCTTGCTCCAGAGCTCAATTTTTTTAAAAAGATAATAATTTGGGGACAGTTTTATTGAGATATAAATCACGCACATCTGGAGCCTCTGATGTTCCCAGAGATGGGCGGCCGTCGCCGTGGTCAGTTTCAGAGCCCAGACTGAGACCCAGCTCTGCGGGCTTAGCTCAGGAGCCTGAGCACCAAGATTGATTGACACCTCATTTCACCTTGTCCAAGGAACACGTGAGGGTCCCTCCGACGCGGAGTTTGGGGGGCTCAGGGCTACAGGATATGGGATCACCGTGCAGAGCGGGAACTCTGAGGGACTGAAGGGACAAGAAGGACCTCTGCCTTCCAATTCCTCATCTGGGAAATAGGGAGGAACGTCAGGGCGTCCCCTTAGGGCCGTTCAGAGGCCAAATGCGTCAGTCCCTGTGAAAGTGCCAGGAACAAGTCTGGACCCCAGCAAGGGCCACGAAGCCTTTTCTGTTACTTGCATTGTTGCCTCGAAATGCCACCTGGGGTGGCTGGCCTGATCCCACAGGTCAGGGCTGTGTTTGTTCCGAGAGACCCTCGATGCCCCCCTGCCCTTGACCTGGACCTCAGTTTTCTCATCCATTAGCTGGGGTGATCTGAGACTCTTAGGTCCTCTCTGCTGATGACGGGGACCTCCTCTTGGAGTCGCCCCAGGGCAGTTTTCTCTAAGTGGGATGGGGGGGCTTCTCCAACACCCCACCTCAGTCTGGGAGTCAGTCACCCCATGCCTGATATTGAGGCTCCCCTGTCCCCGTCCCCTGGGAAGTGTGGGTCCAAGAGGCAGCGCAGTCCTGGCTCTGGTAGAAGGAAATGGGGCCTCCGGGTCCCTCACCCTCCCTCAAGTCACTGGGCTTCTCGGTCCTCAGGTTCCTCTTCTTTAAGGTGAGGACGAGACCACGTCCCCTCTGCGGGTTGGGGATGAAGTGTGTGAGTTTCCGTAAAGCAGCTTTGTAAGAAGCCCTTTCTGCACCTCTTCAGGAAGACCCCAGGACTCCAGGCGGGGGCCCGGGGTCTTTTCAACATAGCATCTCCACCGTCGAGGAGACTGTGGCCTGCACTTTGAGTTTCCTGGGGAGACACGGCCTCTGATCCGCCTCCGCTGGCTGTTAGGTGCCTCCCATGGAGGCCAGCCTCCGCTGGGGTTCCGCTCCCTTCTCCCGGTCAACACCCCTACGTACAAGAGGACAAATGACCCACAGATGGGCTGCGCACGAGACCCCTGGCGGCTCTCTGTCTGTCTGTCTGTCTCTCTCTGTGTGTCTCTCTCTCTGGTTAACGGTGGATCCCTCTGCGCTTTGCTCTGTCAACCCCCTTGGCATTTCTCTGATCCCACTTTCTCTCGGCTCTTGCCTCTGACCACAGCAGAACAAGAAAACAAATGCACAAGAAGACCCCAACTCGAATGGCACGGGGACCCTGTGAGGCAGGAGGGTGATGCATCTCTTTGTTCTTATTTTCAAGAGATGAATTCAACATGAACCAGGAAGTGCGCTGCTGCGGTCCAGTGCTTCCTTTTCTTGCTTGTTTAGTTTTTCAAGAAATGCTCTCTTTCTTTCTTTTTCTGGTGTCTGCTACGTGTCAGGGACGAGTTGACCTTTCTGCAGTCTGCCCGGTTCCTTCCATCTCCCTCCAGTGGGGCTAGTCAGGGTGGGCCTCAGGTCCGGGCTGAACATGACCTTGGGAGCCAGACAGAGCCAGGTTTGACTCCTGCTGTGACCACGGATGGTGTCACCAGGGACGGTCATTCATGTCCAAGAGACTCGCCCTCTGCTTCAAGCACTTCTCACAGTTGTTCTGGGATTAAATGAAACGTGGATCCCAGGACCTGCCCCCCCAGGGTGGAGGCTCAGCGATGGGTTCATTTCCATCTGCCTCCCGTGTCCACTGAGTTTTCTCCACACCCCGAGCCGGCCTTCGTCCTCCACCTGCTCTTGAGAGCTTCTCTGGGGAGCTTTTTCAGAATCCCTGACTAACCTAAGTCCTCCTGCTGTTGGAGCCCGTGACAGCCTGTGACAGCCCGTGACAGCCTGTGACAGCCCGTGACAGCCTGTGACAGCCCGTGCCCCTCGTGCTTCAAACAACAGGTACCACGGGAGCCTCCTGTTCCCGCCTGTGCCTTTCATCTGGGCTGGTGGCTCGTGGGTACGGATGCTGGTCAAACCTCTAAGCTGTAGACTGAGTGTGCGCATTCACGTTTATACATGTCCAGACCTCAAAAATTGGTTGAGAATGAGAAAGATTCGGCTCGAGAGGCTGAGGCAGGAGGATCGTAAGTTCAAAGCCAGCCTCAGCAACAGCGAGGCCCTAAGCAACTCAGTGAGACCCTGTCTCTGAATAAAATACAAAATAGGGCTGGGCATGGGGCTCGGGGGTCGAGTGGCCCTGAGTTCAATGCCTGGTACCCCCTGACACACAAAAGAATCAATGAGTAAAACAAAACGGTAAAATCAATCAGAGAAGGAAGAAGGGAAGCCAAGTGTCGTGTCCCAGCCTGGAGTCCCTGACAAGGAGGGTGTGGGTCCAGTTTCTGAGTAGGATCTGGCAGAGAGAGAAGCCTATTGTTATCATCGCAACAAGGAAAAAGAAAGAAAAAGGGTAAAACCACAAACATCATATTTTCAAAGACACTAGAGAGCCGTGGGAGCAAAAGAAGATGCTCCGAATTGGAAATGCAGAGGGCTTAGAAACTACAGAAGCCAGGGACGACGGAAGGACAGCCCGAGAGCGCCCAACAAACAGCAAAAAATCCTCCGACCCGCCCTTCCATGGCTCTGTGTCCAACAAGAATGTCCTTCAAAGCTTGCAGCAAATAAGGACAGGGTCAGACACACACGCTGGTGGCATTTCTCATCAGCAACAGCACAGCACCAAGAGACAAGCTGCAGCAAATCTGGGGACTCCAGAAGCTGGTTCCAGATGGAATCGGGGACCCGCAGGAAAGGATGAAGGGATCAGGGGAGGAAATGCGGGGACACATTGATAGAAAACCGGCTGTTTACAGCAATATTGGTATTACTATGTCTGTCGATCCTGGAGTAAATGCCAAAAAAAAAAAGCACCAACGACGATAGAAACAATCGATACATTTGATTTTCTTAAATTTAAGACTTTCTGCTCCCAAAAGGCACCCTTAAAAAGAACAGAAAGGCCCAGGGGAAGATATGTGCCCACACATGACAAAGCACCAGTGCTTGCCCTATGTAAAGAACTCCCACAAATCAATAACACAGGACAAAGCACTTTTTAAAAACGGAAGACTCAAACAGGCACTCACAAGAGGGAATTCCAAATGATTCACAGTGACGTAACAGGGTCACCTCTCAGGGAGTCTGAGAGAGTTTGGGGGTTCAGGAGATGCTCTGTCTCTTGGTTTTGTGGAAAAGGCTTCTTGGGTCTTTTCTGGCTGTGCAAAAATTGATAAACCTGTACAATTCTACCCGTGCACTGTTCTCTGTGCATATTATAATAAAACTTCTTTTTAAAAGCATTTGGGGGAGCATAAAGTCATTTGGGAGAAAAAAAAAATCTACTGACGGAAAAAGACTTCAGGATACCCAGGAAAATGAAAGAGAGTGCCAAAAGGGTCCCAAGGCAAGACGTTGCGGGGACGAAAGGGCAGTTCCGCAGGCCTTGGTGATGTGAAGCCTCTGGGGTGGATCTCATTGGAATTTCTAGGGGGTTTAGTCTCTGGGTAGGCACAGGAATAAAGTGAAAAACAGACCAGGAGCCAGGAAGGAGGGGAACTGTGAGCTCAGGGACTGACGGGATCTGTGTCTGGGGACTGGAATTGTACTGAGAAGATTCCTGGGGACGTTCTGTCCTACACTTTAGAGGGGAAGATCTGAAGTCGGGTGAAAGACTGACAGGAGTTCTTAGCCAGAGTTTCTAGAAAGAAAGATGGCTTGAGAAGGTAACAGATTCTAGACATAAAATTTCGCATGAACTAACTATGGGTAAATGGATATAAATATGAATGAAATGAGAAAGAAGCAAACGGTGACCCCTTGTTCCAATAATAAATTAAGGGGCACAGTCTCTACGGGAAACTCGACGGGATGCTCGTGAGCACAGATATTCAAAGGGATATTTCACCTTTGGGTGTCTGGGAGGAGATGTCTCGGTGAACTGACTTCTAGAATATTCTGGAATCATCCAGAAAACCTAGAAGAAAAGAACCAGGGGAACTTTTACGAAAACCATCCAGGGTGACGCTTTTCCCATAGGATACGTGTGGTTCAGAGCTGGTGGATCCCAGGGGGTCACAGGCCCGGGACTTGACAAGGACGCAGGACGGGTTTAGTCAACAGATATTTGCTGCGTTTCTTCCAGCAGCCTTGACTGGCCCGTGATCCTCCAGCCGCTGCAGGTGGCTGGGCATGAAGGAATCCATGATCATTCATCCAGTGGGCTCATGGCTGCTGGTGGTGACACAGTTGTACCAGCGGGTGCAGGACGGGGGCTGTTACTGTGGAGCCCCACGGAGCTGGGAAGGGAGGAGACAGCGAGAGAGACTCAGGACAGCTTCTCCACAGCAGGAACTTCCTGATCTGCCTTGTTTTAAATGAGCCACGAATGTGCTCCGGGACCCAAGACAGCATCTGTTTCGCTTTTTAAATCAACCAACAGGAAAAAAAAAAAAAAATCTAGATGCTCAGACCACATTGAAGTACCGAGCCCACGCCTGGCCAGCCGTCTCGACCCGGGTATCCTGCTTACCCAAGTTGCCACTAAAAGTAGGGGCCATGGTTACCCCCATTTTGCAGATGAAGAAACTGAGTCCTGGAAGGAGAGAGGTGAGTCTCCCGAGCTCGTACAGCTGGGAAGTGGCGGAGCCGGAGCTCGGACGCTGCTGCTGAGACTCCAGGGGCAGCCAGGGTTCTGGTGACCTCACTGTGGGGAGGTGGCAGGACAGGGGCTGCAGACGGGGGGTGGGGGGGGGGGGGGGCAGAGTGAGAGACCCAGGAGATTGGAGCTGGGACAGGGAGTTATTTAATGCACAGCTTCCAAACTCTCTGCGAGATCAATTAAAGGGGCCCTTGGAGGGTTCTCTGGGACCCTCTGGTTCTAGGTAAGCGGTCCCCACTTTCGGAGTTTCTCGGACCTGGGGCGGGGGGCCATCTGTTGGTTTACGTTGTTTGGCTGCCTCCACCCAAGAGACGGATCCTGGGCTCGCTGGGTTGGCCTGAGTCCTGCCTCTGCTGGAACAGGAAGCCAGTGCCTTCGCGGGGTGACCTTGGTGGGAGGCGCAGCCCAGGGCACCCTCACCCAGGCCTTCCCCGCAGCTGAGCCTTTTCTGGCCTGGAACCTGCAGGCCTTCCTGGCTTCTACCCCCCCCCCCCATTAGGAGGCAATAACATGGTTTGTGGAGAGCCAGGCTTCTGGAAAGTGAAGAAATCACGCTGCCTGGGCTCCTTAATGAGCTGCCACTTGAGATCAAGTTCTTTATCAAACCCCCCCCCCCCCATCGGCCGGATGCCCCGTGCTCTGGGGACCAAGCCCTCCTCCTCCTTGGGAAAGCAGAACCTTCAGGAAATGGCCTTGTGCTGAAAACCCCCAGACCCCTAACCAAGTCCGCGTGCCCTGTCATCCACAGCTGGGGACGTCCTCTCCACCCCCTGCGTTGGGTCGCAGACATCACCTGGACCCTTGAGTCCCCAATCTTGTTTAGTGACCTTTTGACCCAAAGTACACAGTCAGCAGACAGATGCCCGTCACCATGCAGGGCAGACAGAGAAACAGACACTCGTGGAACCAGGAGGCCGTGGGGCTGGACGGGAGCTGGGAGGCTGCTTTCTCTTGGGGACCTTGTGGGGGGCTCGCTTGGCTTCTTTTTTCCTCCTTTTAAACAGATGAAATTGTTGCAATAATTAAGCTAAAAGAAGCAGAGGAGCAACTAGCAGATATGGTCAGGTGTCATAATAGGCTGCGGTGACAGGGAGAGAGAGAGAGTTATTTAATTCACAGCTTCTAAGCGCCGGGGGAGGCTACCTTTTTTGGGGGGTGGGGGGTAGAAAAAAAATCAGTGGGTCAGAGCTTAGATTCAGGGTGAACCTATTAACTTGATATTTACCCAAATTGTTCAACCCAATTAAGCTGTTTTGATGATCAACATCTCGGCCTCGCTCGCCCCAGAACCTCCTCCCTCATGAGCCGGGCCTCACATCCTCTCTGTTATCTTGCTTGGTCTTGGCAGCATATTGACCCGGGATCCAAATATGCTTTTTCTTAGAAAGGTGGCTCTAATTAGAAGCGGTTTATAAATCTTCACGGAAATGAGCATCACTTAGAACGATGACTCTGAGCCGCACACAGGACTTTTTTCCCCCCTCTGTTCTCTCTCTCCCATCCTTCGCCGTATTTCTCTGCCAGAAACTCGATGGCATATTTTAGCAAGAGCTCAAGTGAATGCAAATGTCCTTGTCTGTGGTCACGGGCACTGTCACGTTCTTGTTTGCATTGCCTACAGCGAAAATTGGCACTTCCCTTTTTCTGCCAGAATTTTTTTTTGACAGGCTCTTCAAAAACTGCTCCCCAGAAGCCCCACTTGGACAGATCCTTGTCTACTGTCCCTTGTCACGATGGCCTGCAAGGCTTGTCTTCTTAACTCAGGCTCCCCGTAGCGGTTGGGTCCTAGATTCAAATCCCGACACCACTGATTGCTTCCCCGGGAGGTTTGGCCACCTCTCCAAAGCTCACCGTGGTCATCTCTTCAGACAGGGGTTAAGATCGCACCTGTTCTACATGCTGAGCACAGATGCTCAGAAAAGTGGCAGCTGTGACTCTGCTCTCTAGAGTCACTGGGTAACCAGAGAGCCCAGGAATTTGCAGAGAGCCTTTCCTGCTTCTGCAGATGAAGACGAAGAGATCAGAGAGGTTAAGTGGGTTGTCCAAAGGTAAACAGTCAAGTAGTAGGAGATCTGGGAACCAGGCCTCCTAACCCAGGGCGATACCTGCCCCATCACCATTGGGAGCTCTAGGAACCTCTTGCCATGGAAAACCAATCAAGATTGGGCTATTTCGGAGGAGATATTGAGGGGGAGCTCTAACCTATTCCCTTCCTAGGTCCCACCTGGACCATAGGCTCCTCTTCAGGTCCCAAGCTTTGATGCTAATGAACTGCCTATGAGACAAGTCAACCCTAGAGACATGGAACCAGTCATCCTAGTCTTAAATGTACCCCTACTGTGCAACACTAGGGTTACCGCAACGATCAAAGCTGACATATTTCTTGTCTTTTAAGGAGCCTCCGGTTTGCAAAGGAAGAGGATTATGAGGGCGAATTTCAAGGCTCCAGGAAGCACATGAGGTGGCTCAGGAGGCTGTGTTCAGGGAAGGCTTCGCTAAGGAAGCCACAGTTAACACTGGGAAAAAAGTACAAGGCCCAGGAGGACGAGGAAGATGAAGCTCAATGTCTTATGGAAAACCCAGTTTGGCCCCTGAGGAGGGTTGGGGCTGGAGGACCTGGCTGGGGGCAGACTGTGCAGAGCCTTGTGAGTCCCACTCATTCTCATTTTGGGGGCACTAGTGGGGGGAGCACTGGAGTGCTTCTACTCAGGGAAGGACAAGGTAGGAAGACAGTCAGAGGGACGGTAGGGGGGCGCTGGGAGGGCTGACGGAACCGTCCAGAGAAGAAACGATGGTGTTGGGGACCAGGTGGTGGTCACCTGACGAGGGAGGCAGGACATCTCCCTTCGAGTACCTGATTGGACCCCAGGGGCAACAGAGAGGGGGAGAGCAGAGACCCACACTGGGTGCAGGAGAGCATCACTTGTTTAGATGGGGAAAGGTACTCAGGACCTCAGGGCTCCTCCGCTAGTGGCTCTCAGCCAGAGCATTTGACCTGCTGAGGGCAATTTTGAGACATCTTTGGTTGTCACACAGGAGGGACCGCATCCCGGGATGCTGCCTACCTTCCATCAATGCATAGAACTGCCCATGGGGTCCCTAGTGCCTTGCTGAAACCCATCCTCTGTAAAGAAGAATCCCATTTGACTTTTGCAATTATTTAACCCTTTGACGGGAATCAATGGAGCAAAGTCCGCCCTAATCTGGCAACTCTCTGGGAGGGAAACTTGGGCCACTTTGAATGTGCGCATAGATCTATTTATATATATAGAGAGAATGAATGACAAGATTGATCTGCTGGGCTCTGTGGGTGGGGGATGCACCTGTCACATCCCAGGTACCCTGGAAGAACTTGTTCCTTGGAGGAGAAAGGTAATATCTCCTTCCTCTCTACCTCCAGGATAGGTTCCAGCTTTGGCTCAGCATCTCGTCCCACCCTGTCTGTATCCAGCCAGCGTTCAAGATTCAGATCCGTCGGCTTCCCTGACGCCTCTTGCTGAGACTGAACTTGTTCCTACCCCTAAGCTCCTGAAAGTAGTTGGCTCTCTGTATCTGTGGGTTCTGCATCCACGGGTTCAGCCAGCCATGGATAAAGCATCTTTGAAAAAAAATTGAGCGTGTTCTGAACATGTACAGAATTCTTTCTTGTCATCAGCCCCTGAATAAGACAGTTAACAACGGTTTGCAGAGTTCTGAGGTCGCGTTAATTATTATAAACCATCTAGAGAGTATCTCAAGTGCGTAGGTTCTGTGTAAATCCTGTGCCACTCTGAGGTGGGACCTGAACATCATCAGAGCTTGGTATCCATATGGGGTCGTGGAACCAATCCCTTAGGGACATTGAGGGATGACTGCCCATTCTTTGCTTTATCTGAGGGGGGCGTACCAGGGATTGAACTCAGGGGCACTCAACCCCCGAGCCCCATCCCCAGCCCTATTTTGTGTTTTATTTAGAGACAGGGTCTCACTGAGTTGCTTAGGGCCTCACTAAATTGCTGAGGCTGCCTTTGAACTCGCGATCCTCCAGCCTCAGCCTCCCGCTGGGACTACAGGTGTGTGCCACCGTGCCCGGCTGCTCTTTCTTTTTGGTGCATTTCATTTGCCCTCCTAATTTCATAGCTCCTTATTAATATTCTCTCCAACAGAACTGTGGGTTCCTTGGGAGAAGACGCCAGAGTTGGTTCTGTTGGTGCCTTCGTAACATCTGTCACGTGGAGGGGGACAATATACACTTCAGGAGATGCTCCTGACCACGTACCAGTCTACAATGGGGAGGATTCTCCGTCTCCCTGCCGCTGAGCTGCGGTTCACTATGGAACTCTGACCACCCTGCACCTGTCCCAGAAACCATCCCCGCCAATGTGGCCTTCCCTCTTAGCAAAATCCAGAAACCCGGAGGCACCTCCAGTCTTGCAGAGAGATCACCAGACACGCCGGTGTTTGAGTTAAAGCTACCGATGGCATAAAATTCCAAGGTAGGCAGAAATAACCTTCTATCAAGATTGAGCCCCGCAAGAAATTTCCTCCGCAGAGTTTGAGAACAGGAATGTAGAAGGGAAGATGCCACCAACTCGTGATAGAAGGGATCCCATTACTGGAGATTATGATTTTTGGATTTAGCTGTCAGAAAGATCTCCGAGAAAAATACGTTGGTGTATTCAGCCCGAGAAAGGTTTAATTGGCTTCTGTCAGATTTCATGGGAGTGCGCCTCGCCACTGCACCCCCTATGGATTCTTGCAGCCTTTGAGTTTTGCAGCTGAAGGCAGCATCTTGGGAGGAGGTGCGGGTGTTGAAAGGTAGTCAAGACTAGGTCTCCCTCTCTGGTTGTGCAAAGGCTGGTCACGCCTGAATTCCTCAAGCCCTCTGTGTTTTCCAGGGTCCAGAATGGCGACCCATGTGTGTACCTTCATGCCCTTCTGTACTCCCCCACACCTACAAGAATGCTTGGACCTCTGTAAACATTAGCTGAATGAATCCCCCCAACCTTCTGATGGGTTTTATATGGGACCACTGTGGACAAATGTCCCTGACATTCCCAATCGGTTGTTGCACAGGGTAGGAAATAGGGATCTCTTTCCTCTTGGGGTTCATCTTCATCAGTGTGTGTGGTTTGGGACCCCCAGTGTTTGAATTTTTGTGAAGTCATTTGTTCATCAAATATTCATCTCCAATGCTACCACCTCTCCCTCGCCCAGGGTTTCTACCCTATGTGAGATACACACTTTCTCAGTCATTCTTGCAGCTAGAAAAGGCTTGTGACACTGTTTTGGCAAATGAGACATAAGAGGAAAGGCTTTGCTTGCTTCACAAAAGACACAGGTGCAGCTCTTACTCTCCACTTTTCTCCTTTTCTATAGAAGGTGGATGTGATGCCAGGAGCTGGGGAAGCCACTTTGTAACCATGAAGGAAGAGACCCTCCAGCCCTGACACTAGTGAGCTCTTGAAACAACACCAGCACCCTATACCTCCGGATCTCACATTAATGTCAGTCTTCTCCAGTTTTTCTCTTATTTGCAACTAGAATTTTTCTAATGGCTGCATAGTGTTTCTCTTTACGCTTCCTATCTTTTGGTTTTCTATGGAATCCAAATTTGAATAATGGGGATGTGTTGGCAGTTAAATAAATCTAAGGGACCCAAACCATGCTCAGGGGCACCCGGTTTTCTATTGATTTATTTATATGATTAGGTATATACGTATTTATTTTTATTTATTTAAGTTTTTGAGGTTTTGGTGCTCTATTTTTATTTTTTATTTTTTTTAAGACAAAGTTTTGCTGAGTTGCCCAGCCTGCCCTTGAATGTGTGATTCTCCGGCCTCAGCCTCCCAAATAACCTTAACCTCCTGAGTGCACTAGTGAACCTGGCTGTCCCCTTTTCCATAACAGGGGTTTCTAAATGGGTCAGGCATTCTCTCCTGCAAGGTACCTCGTTCTGCTGCAAGGAACCAAATTTAGGTTCCTGCCCCCTGCTTCTTCCTTTCTGCCCTCAAGTTGGGACACGGCCTCGCTGGTAATGTGAGTACTCAGCCTGTCCTGGGTGACTGGGTCTTCAGAATGTTGGTGGCCGTGCTCCAAGGGAGGACACAGCACAAGTGGTACTAATAACCACAATCACTACTTACTGGGGACTAACCATATATTGGGGATTGGGCTCAGTATTACACATGCACTATCTCACATATTGTGTGACTTCAAAGGCAGCGTTTCTAAGTCGCATCCGCAAGGGCCCGTGATCTGTTTCTGCCCCTCTCCTCCTCTCCCTGAGCAACTGCCTGTTTGCAGAAGGGCCTGGGCCAGCACCCAGAGTGTCTGTCGCTCTTCCTGTGCTGGGAGGTAATGAACGGGCTTCTTGCCTGCACCCTGATTTATCACAGACGGAAGCCGCCTGTCACATGGGCCTGCAATTAGACACAGCAAGATTCTCTAAGGCAAGCGTTAGGCCACAGAGGGAAAGGAAATAAATAGACCTTTGAGTTTTGCCGTTGGCAAAACAATGCAGTCAGAGGAGCCCCTGGAGAAAGAAAAGGAGTCACTGCTATTTTTCTGGTCTAAGGTGTGTCCTCAAAACAGGTCTAGCCAGTTTGGGATTCTTCAGAATTAAATCTCAAGTGGCTGTTGGATATTTTATTTTTTCAGGGTAGTCAGTGAGTGATTCAGTGCAGGGCGGGGGGCGGTGGTCCCCATGGTTAGAGTGCAAAGAGGTCAGGCAGCTCGGGGCTCACTTCTGACAAAGACCCGTGACTCACTCCCCAGGGACCAGCGTTCGCCTCTTTAGGCTGTGATTCCTTCCACCCGGACAGGGAAGAAAATCATTTCACGTTTTCGGTGGACGCGTGTGGTTGCGCTGGGCGTCCAGGTGTTCCTTGCTGGGGAAAGTCTTTCTAAAAGGTGTTGATTCTCCTTTTGGGATTCAGGTTGGCTCAGCTGGGTGCAGAGCAAGATTCTCCTGGCGCAGACGCTCCTTCATCATTTGGGGGGAGTGGAGAAAAGACGCGCAGGTCTGTGTCTTCTGCATACCTAGGGTTCTGTCTGCTTTGTCCCCTGCTCCCCAGCCCTGCCCACTCACTTCTCAGCAGAGAACTAGACCCTGGCGCTCTGCAAGTGTCCGTCTCCCCGGGTGCAAGACCATACCAGCTTCATCATGGAGGTTGTTAACAGGATTAAAGGACCGACCGACCGTATCATGGTGGCTAAGCTATAATTCACCTCTTCTAACATGCACATCCCTCCCCACCCATGTCTTAACATCTCTGAAACAAGGACACATCTTATCCTCTCATTAAAACATAATCAAGATGCATCTTAAAATGGCACACCCGCCCTGCAGAGGAGATCGAGGCTGACCGGCCAGAGGTTATGCAACCCAGTAAGCGGCAGAGTTGGGGTTCACATCCACATAGTTTGCTGAAGAATCTCTACTTTTAGTTACCCAGCTAGAATATGAGCAGAACCCCCGGAACCGGGAAGTCTTAGGATCTGCCCAAATTAGGGAGTGCTTTCTTCTCTCTGGATTTTTAATGACACGGTTTCTGAGAGACCGAGCTTGCCTCAGGGATCCCACACCTTTTTAGATTTTGGCCAATAGCATTCCCATTCTAGAACATGGGAGAGGTGTTCTTCATTACCCCCACCCCTTCCTAGCTTTTTCCAAGATGAAAATTGTGGGTTCACAGTCATCTCCCCCCCCCCACACACACACACAGCAGCCTGCTCCTCCCTCCATCCGATCTGTGGCTAATCCCATTAGACTTCTCTTTTGCTTCTGTGGGAAACAAAGCCCAAAGGGATTCCTTAAACAGATTAGGGAGCACAACACGGGGGCAGGCTGGAAGGTTTCTTCCACAGAAGACCTTCAAGTGGAGGATTTGCATATTTATGTTTCTTCTGCCTGGGAGAAGAAAAAACCAACAGCACAAAAACAAGACCACAAGAAGACGCTCTAAGTGCTGCCCCCCATTAGTTAGGATCTGAAAAGCTTGTCCCTGGGAGGAGGAGAAAGGTCTAGACTCAGAGGGCTTCAAGGTTTCCCCAAGACTTGCCCCCCCCAATAGGAGCTAATGCCGTGGACCCTAGGGCCATGCAGCGGGGGTGGGGGGCAGCCACACCTTCCTCCTCTGGGATGCCGGATCTCTCCTACAGTGCTCCCCGTGGACACCTACTGGCTGCCTGGCATTTTCTTATACTCTTTAGGTATTTTTTCCTCTGCTCCAAACAAACCTGGAAACTCCTGGATCATGCCCTGCAGCTTCTCCCGGTATCCCCTGTGGTGCCCAATGGATGATGAAATAGAGAGGGGGCGGAACTCTGGAGCAAGAAAGATCTGCTCCTGGAAGCCTTCGAGAATGTACCTCATGCCCCTGAGCCAAGGTTGGCCAAGGCAGCTCCCTACCAACCATCATCCTCTGGGGCACAACTGTCATTATCATTGGCTTTACTTGCCCCAGATGACCAACCCACCCGCTGTCTACAGGGTTTCCTGTGATTTTTTCCCTTTCTAGTTAACCCATCTTAGGTTAATCAGTGCCTTCTGATCTAAGAGACAGGGTCTGTGTGGCATTCTGACCTCAGTATCTTCCTCCATATTCCTCATTTCTCTATCCTTGAATGGAAGAGTTGCATAGGCACCTGTCTTCTTTCCTCCCCAAATAGCGCGCGCGCATGCGCGCGCGCGCACACACACACACACACACACACACACGAGTCTTGAGCTAGCTATCCTTTTCTTTGCTCCCATGAGACCCTAGGCTATTTCCCTACCACATCACTATTCACCTTGCATTATAATCACCTGCCTCTTCCCTCCTTCACTCCCCACCCCAAACATAGGCCCTCTCGGCAGTGAGGTTCTTGGAAGAGAGTTTGCAGCACATAACAGGGAATCAGTGAATCTTTGCTGAATGAACAGGGTATAAACATACAATTAAAATCTTAGCAGCACTTACTGGGTCAGGAATTGTCCTAAGGGCTGGTGGCCTACATTGAGTCACTGAATGCTTACAGCAATCTCATGCAGAGGGACTGTAATATCCCCATTTTGCAGAGAAGTTCTGTCTCTTGTCCAAGGCCACGGGGATGCTAAGTTGCAGATCCAGGACAAACCCAGCCTGTTCCTGTCAGCTGACCCTGCTCTGATCTCCCGGCTGCTACTGAAACCCCCAACTGGCTCCTCACTCTCTTACCCTGGTTGCTATCCTGGGAAGTTCAGTCCCCAAGGGGGCCATTTGGATCAAACACACTTCTGTGCAGCATTTAGAGATGAAAGGAGATTCGCAAAGCTGCCTCCTGCAGACGGATCTCACCAAGAGGGCTGAGCAAGAGGAGTGCACAATGGTGTGTCCATCTTCCAAGAAGATCAGTTAGAGGACACTTGGGGCCATGTGCAAAGCACTGGTGAGCTCCCCTGTGTGCACTGACTCCCCACGGGCCGACTTTCCTGGGCCATGATTCTGAGCCACAGTGTGCATGCCCCTGTGGATAGACCAGAGTGGACCAGCATTGCCCCTCTCCCTAACGTGGCTGATTCATGACTACGGAGGGACTTGAGGGTTCCAAACCAAGGCACACTTATAAATCTGGCCTACCCAGTTACAATCACTTCAAAACAGAAACCAGTGACTTGGATCGTTCACGACATGCCAAATTTTCTTTATCACTCAAATCGACAACCCCGTGTACACAGGAGCAAGCAAAAGCATCATGCTAGTCGATTTCCATATCTGATTGTGTTTAGTTCTTCAGCTATTTCTGCCTCATTCCTGTTCTCCTTTTGTAGACAGGAGCAAAGAAAGGCTCAGGGACGTTCAGCAACTTGTCCAATGTCACCCAGAGGACGAGTAGTAAGCCCAGCCTCCAAACCCCCAAGTTTGACGCCCTGCAGCCTCAACACTGAGAGAGAATACGCACATCTCCAGAGCCCAGCGGATCTCTGGGAATCAGTTCTGCGACGGCAAACCTACCATTCATCTTAATTTTTTTCTGATGTTCTACGGTGTCACTGCCAATTTACTCCATCATTTTGGAATTACTGGCTAATAGGATGTCCCAGTGAACTGTTCTGATTTGTGTTTTCATTGTCTGGGAGAAACCAACCATTGAATAGTGACAGGGATGTGTCTGGACAATTGAATCACACCAAGACTCTTCTCCCTTCTCCCCTCCCTCCTGGGTCTGGTGGCGAATACCTACTTCTCTTTGTTTGGACAGAATGGGGAGACCTACCTGTGTCAGAGGGTCTGAATCATAACAGGTCCACACGGCCCCCGAGCTGGGGGAACTCTGCATCTTTTTGGTGGCTGGCACCTTGGTCATCTTGGAAATCTCTCAGGCTTTTCCAGAATCTTCTACTTTTCGAGGAGTTCCAGAAATTCCTCCCTGACTCCCAAGTTCCAGCCACACAGAACCCCCCAGAAGGGTTTCTGTGCGAGGAGGAATGGGAAAACAAATCACCCGAGTGTCCCACAAACAGGATAAGGAAGTCCCGAGGCGACGAAATCAGGCTAAGGTGGAAATCTTTACTTTTCAGAAAGTTACAAACTTTTATAAACTTCCCCCATCTTCAGAAGCGTATCTTTTTCCCTCCGATAAGCAAAATAGAATATAAAGTGAAGAAAATAAAACTCCATCAACAAAATCCCCATCCTGCCGCCAGAGTCCAAGAACCCAGGCGGCCCCAGTGCGGGGCTCAGCCCAGCCGTGGTCAGGCAGGGTAAGAGGCGCAGCCGCCAATAGTCAGGTGCGGGCCCCTCGGTTGCCGGGCAACGGGACGCCAGGCGGGGCCGCCTCATTGGCTGGGGCTGGAGGGGGCGGGGTCGCCGACTCCTGGCAGCTGCACTCAGGCTCTGAGCAGGTGGCTGGCGGGAGAGCCACGTTCTCTAAGGTCTACTTTTCCCCTCTTAGATCTAAGGATCCGGATTCTTTTCCTCCACCATTCTACACGTCTCCTCCCTTTGACCTTTGCTTCATCCTGCTGCTAACCCCTGAGTGGTTCCTTGTGCCTTGATGGTGTGTGTGTGTGTGTGTGTGTGTGTGTGTGTGTGTTGCACAACCGGTGCCTTTGGCAATTCTTAACCCAGGAGGCCTAATTCTCCCCTTTTCCTGCCTGAGAAACTTCTGCTCATCCTTCAAAGCCCTTCTACAGGTATACATTCACGCACACACACGTACATATAAACACACGTGTGTATTACGAATATAATTGTCTCTGATGTTTATTAAGAACGTGCTAGACCCTGTTCTAAGTGTTTTATATTACAACGGCAACAGAATTCTCACAGCATTCCACCTAGGAAGCTGTTATATTACCCTGTTTTACAGACTAAGCAACTGAGGCACAGAGACATTAAGTGACCCGCTGAAGGTCACACAGCATGGACCTGAGCCGGGATTCAAGGTCAGAACTGTTTGATTCTAAAACCCAATTTCTTAACAACTTAGCTGCCTGACCTGGGGGAAGGGCCCTCTATAGAGAGAGCTTCAGCTTCCATATCTTTGAAATGGGGATAACAGATTTACTACAGGTTGTTAAGGATTGAAGTAGATAATATATATAAAAGCTGAGCATATGAGAAGTCTTGGTTGAGGGTGCTGCTATTATTTCCTGACATCCTTCCTCTAGGAAGAATTAGGCATTCTGACTGTGCTGGGCTCATTTCATAGCAGATATTAATACTAACAATATTTATGGATTGCTTACTCTGTGCTAGGTACTGGACTAAGCACTTTACATACATTAATTCAATTAATCCCCCAATAACCCTGTGAGGTAGGTTCTCAGGCTGTAAAAAAAAAAAAAATTATTGCACATTTGTTATTTGCATGCCTTATCCTTGTCATTACTTTACCCTGAATCAGTCGAGTTCCTGGTTTCTGCCTAAACCTTGAGCTGCTGAGGATTATGATATCATCATGGGCTTATCTTCCCCAAAAGATGACACTCCACACGGAATGCAAAATGCCTGACTATGCGGCTCCAGGTGTGGATGGCTGGAAGTCATTATTTCCTCCCCATTGTCGGGAGACTGCATCTGACCTCCCCTTTCATGGGAAGTTCCGGTTCTGTTTCCTCTATGGGCAGCATTAAGCAACCAGCAAGTGCTTTCAGAACAATGCAGATAAACAGAACTGTGTTTAGAGGATGGGGCTGAGGGTGAGAAAACAGAGTGGGAAATGTTCAGCTCTGAGCCCAGGCTGCCTTGGCAAAGAGGGACTCAACGAGTTCCGTCTGAGCCCAAGGCATGGGAAGAGGGCTTTGGCTCAATGTGAAGAAAGACCTATGCAGCAGAGCATCATTTTAAAAGACGTGAGCTCTGGAGTCAGCTGACTTAGCCACCGAGCAGCCTCCATGGTCACTAGCCTCAAAGGACCAGGCTGAAAGCTAGATGGGACCATCTATGCAAAGTACTGTGGCTGGCACAGAGGAGGCGCTCAGGGAAGGTCAGCTCCTATGTCCTTTGTTAGTACTCACCTGCCAAAGCCAGGTGAGAACTGGAAGAAGGAAGGCTTCTCAAATTCTGACCCTGTCATTTACTGGTTAGAAGAACTGGGTCAAGTCACTTCTCCAAGCCTCCGTTTTATTATGGATGGGAAGTCCATGTACAGGGATGGTCAGGCCCGTCCATCTTATGCCTGCCCCTGGGAGTAACAAGTAGAATGACAAGTGTATAGAGCTTGTTTGGCAGAAAGGGCTCAGTGGGTGCTATTTCCCTCTTCTGTCTACAAAGGGGTGTGCTCCCTAGGGAGGAAATGAGCTCCCTAGCACCGGTGGCATTCAACCAAGGGCTCTCTGGCTTCTCGATGGGTGGAAGAGGCCCCAGTGATCACTCGGTGGTGAGTGACTACATGACATTTAAGGTCCTTTCCAAACAGAACTTGGGAGACAATATATAGTTCAGCTGGCGTTTAAATCCCAACATGGCCCATGACCAGCTGCGTGACTTTACCCAAATGATGGCTCCTCTCGAAGCTTGTGTTTTCTCATTACAGAAAGGAGATTAAAAAAATAGGACCTATGTAAAAATGGTGTGACATACACACAACATTTCGCACAGTACCTGACACATCATAAAGACGTGGTAAATGATAGCTATTGCTAGGCTATGATCATAAGAACGAAATATTTTCTAGATCAATCTAGTACTTTGGGGGAAAAACTTGTTAATGAGGAATAGCCCCCCAACCCTGGAGATTCATGGCATCTCCCAGTCTAGTTGCTGGATGAACACACACACACATACACATAACCTTAACAAAAAAGTGTACAAAGGGACATATTGATTGATTGAGCTCCTTCAGTAGAAGACCCCAGATGTGTGCTATCATTTGGATATGATTTGAGTGTGTCCCCAGAGTCACATGTGTTGGGAGTTTGATCTTCAGTGTGGCAATGTAAAGAGGTGGCTGTCCCTTTAAGAGGCGGGGCCTAGTGGAAGGTCATTAGGTCACTGAGGTGCTGCCCTCAGCAGGATTTCATGTAGTTCTTGTGGGAGGTTGGTTGGTTCTTGTGAGAGGGTGGTTACCAAAGAACGAGCCTGGCCCCTCCCTGGTCACTCTGGCTTCTGATCTCACATCCGATTTCTCCCTCACCCATGCTGTCCTGCATGACGCCTTCGCCATAATGTGATGCAGCCAGGGGTTCCCTCGGCAGAACCCGCATCATGCTGTTTGGACATCCAGATTCTGAGTCTGTGAGCCGAGTAAACTTCATTTCTTTCTAAGTCCCTCAGCCTCAGGTATTCTGTTATAGCAATGGGCTAATACAATGGGCAAGAGACTTATTGGGGGGCATAATACAAAGAGGAGGGGCAGGGATAGGCATGGAGAGTCTGGTGATGGGAGGACGGAAGTGGGGGGATTGGAAGGGAGGAATCACACATGATGATACAGCTCTGAGAAAGTCTCAGCCAGGCTGATGGGGAGGCCCTGATTCAAAGTAGCCTGCTAGACGAATCCCCCATGGGGCAGGAACGGCCTGGCTCTAGGCCCCCACGGTGCCCACTCGTTGGCTGGGAGCGTCTGGGTGTGGGATGCGTGACCCATGGAATCAAAGCCTGGAGTATGTATTAAAAGACACAGCGCCTGCCAATCAGCCGTGCTCCCTGCAGACCCTCTGGGAGGGACGTCAAAGCCTCCACAGGCCCTGGAGGCTTGGCTAGTGGTGTGATCCAAGTCTTCATTCCCGAGGATTCTGCGCCCTTCCACAAATACGCTCTCCTTTTGGTCTCAGGTTGCCCCATGCGTCATTCTCTGCTTAACGTTGGTCAGGAGAGTTCTGGGGACACAGCTGGATCACACACGTTCATCATGGATTCCTTCCTGCCCTCCCCCAACTGCATAACTGTCAATCAGGGTCAAATCTTCCTGACAAAGTGGTCACCCCTTTTCTCTCCTGCTAGTCCCCAGACACACAGCATCCAAGTGCCCTGTAGCAACGATAGCTGTAGTCAGAAAGAGCCATGCTTTGTCCCCTGGCAAAAATGTGACCATTTGGGGGAACCTGGACTCTCACCTTGCAGAGCTCAGAGCTGCAGAAATTGGAAGGTCAGAGTCCCTCAGGGGTTATTGGACATGAAGGGTGGAGAGACCCCTCTGTTTCTCTGTCTTGGCTTCTGTGTGTGGAGGACGCAATGCTACTGATGGGGTTCATAGCAATTGCAAAGCATCCTTGCTGGGGTTCCGCTCTGCCTTCCCTGGACTGGTCCAGAATCTATGGCACCAGCTGCCTCGGGTGCTGTGGTCTGTGTGATGACTGGATCCCATGCCAAAGTGAAGTAGGTCCTACAGCTGAGTTTCCGTGGGCATTGACGACATAATGGTAGCAGGTGGGGTTGGGACCCGGTCAACACTCAGTTCCCAGTTCCCAAGAAGCACTCTTTGCTACCATTTTGCCTTGAAATCTCTCACTGGATACAACAGATGTTCCTAAACTTTCTTAGCTCATGGTGCCTTTTGCTTCTCAATAAATTTTTAACGGCATCTCTAAGCCAAAAGAAATATCTTGAGAAGCCCACTTGTTAAGTAGTTTGGCCCATGCAACTGAGTACATATTTAGATCTTAAAGATGTCGTTGCCATTTGATAAAATGCAACACGTACCTGGAAAGAAAACTTTGCATTTGATTCTTAAATAGCCACAGTTGCTTTCCAACCAGACAGGTGTTCCTGGTGGGCACTGCACAACTTCTCAAACTTTGGAATCAAATTTTTGGACACTTTCACCTTCACACTCGATGGCATATTGACTTTAAAATTTTTTTAAAAACTTTGTTTATTTTGATGCGGTGCTGAGGATCGAACCCGTGCCTCACACGTGCT